CTTTCCCTCCTGTGGTTTCTATTTTCCCGTCTGTGCCATGAGGAGAGTGGTTCTTGCCCCAGTCCATGAACCTCCACCCAGCAAGGTTTCTGCCAGTTTGATGGTTATAATTTAGCAACAGTCCAGACTATTGTTTCCCCGGGGCAGCGCCCACTGAAGGGAATATGCCAGGTCTTGATTTCCATAGGCCTCTGGCATTCCAGGCTCTGAAAGGTAAAGTCTTTTATTATACCTCTGCCCACCCCCCCAGGATTTGCATACTCAAATGAACTCTGCCTCAGGCATCTCCAGAAGGCCCAGCCCTAGGCCCTAGGCCACGGCTCCCTTAACACCTTCCAGGCTGCAAGCCACACCCCCTTCATTTTTGCCAGGCCCAGGCTCCAGCTGGCAAGGCTGAGCTCTTGTTTTGCCCTTTGGGCTTTGGCACAGGCTGCTTCTTCTGCCTGGAATACCCTTCCCTCTCCTGTTCATCTGCCTAACTTCTACTCATCCTTCAGGGCTCAGCCTAGAGACCGCTTCCTCTGAGAAGCCTTCTCAGATTGCTCCTGGACTGGGCTAAGTGCTCCAGCCGTGTACTCCCATAGCAGACTTTTCCTCCCCTGCTTTCCCACAGATAGGAGAGAATGAGAGGTTAGAAGTAAAAAGCACTCAGGCTGGGGGTGAGAAGAGCTGTAGAAAGTGAAGGGAAAATGAGAAAGAAAATGAGGTTTTAAGAAGTGTTTCTGTGATTTATGGACATTATTAATTTTGCTGGATACTGCATTCTTTTGGCACTGAGCCAGGACCACTTGGGTCCTGGCTCTCTAAGAGATTCAGTTGTCTAGTAAGTGTAAACCCTGGGAGGACAGCAATACTTTCCATTTTGTTCACTGCTGTATCCCCTAAAAGTAACATAGTGATTTAGGCAAGCTACTCCACCTCACTGGGCCTCAGTCTCCTCATCTGTACTTCACTTCATCTCTGTGCCTCAATTTCCTGTTCTGTAAAATGGAGTGACAGTTACCTATGTGTGGCCGGACTATTACATCAGTGGCTTCCAGTGAACCATACCTCCTGGGACTCATGGTGCCGTCCCTCCCACACTGACCGAGGGCTGGGCACGTGACTTGCTTTGGCCAAGGGGACATTAGTAAGCATGATGCAAGCGGAGCTTGCTCATTTACGGCTTGGTCCCTTAGAAGATTCCCTCTTGGAACCTCGCCGCCAGGATGTAAAGGAGCTCTGGTTGGCCTATTGAGTGACGTGGGGCCACTGGAGAGAGGCTTGGAGGATGAGCCACCATCTCGGACGTTCTAGCCCCAGGCAAGCTCTCAGCAGAATGCATCCACAAGAGGAACCTCAGTTTCACCACGTGGAGCAGAAAAACCACCCAGCCAACCCCAGTCAACCCCACGGAATCATGGGAAATAATATGTTGTTGTTTCAGGCTACTAAGCTTTGGAGTGGTTGATTACAAAGGAATAGATAACAAAAATCTCACCCTAGAAGGTTGATGTGAGGACTACATGAGTTAGTACATAGAAGGCACATATAAAAAGCATATTTTAATCCCAAGCACTCAATAAATGTTAGCTATTATTATTGTTGTTACTATAGTATGTGATCAATAAACATTTGTTGAAGAGATAATTGCCTTCCTGTCCCCCTCCCCCGACTTCCCCATTAGACTCTCACCTGGGCTGAGAAGTCGATGAGTCTTGGCAACGGCTGCTTGCTGCCTTCTTCACTTTTCAGGAAGTCCAGCAGGCTGCCTGTGTCGGGGAGGGTGAAGCAACAGTTACTACTCTCAGGACTTGAGTGTGTGCTTAAGATCGTTCATAGTCATGGATTTAAATAAAAGTATTTACCGCTCCTAGTGTTTGAGAAACAGAATTTGGGCGCTTGGAAAACGACTTTGTGATTGCCAGACTGGTCCCTTGACTGAGACAGCTTTCTGAGCCTGGATGACTGGGGGCATGGTTTTATAAGGCCGGCATAATTGTGTGTTTAGAAAATGATAAAAGCTTTGAGATTTTGAATCACTCTAAATGGAGGTCATGTGAGATGTTTCTGTATACAGAGAAACGGGCAGGGATTGAAAATGATTGGGAAATGGTGGTCTAAAAAAAAAATCCCTGAGACGTCCTGGTTGGTGTGTCGGCAGGGTGGGGGCAGCCTGGAACAGATGCTTTGTCAGCTCTTAAGGTTCACAAAGGTCTTAATGCTTTGACTCTCTTTTCTGGAGCATTGGTCCAGCTAGGGAAGGTGGCTGATGGTGGGGGCTGGGGGGGTGGTTTAGGGAGTCACCCCAGGCTCTAGGGCTCACAGTGAACCCCTAGAAACCTCTTCTCCTATCACCCAGAGGGATTCTGTCCCCACCCGCTCTCCCAGGGGCCCATGTGCTCCCCTTCTCCTGGCATCCCCCTAACATGATTTCACTCCCTCAAACAGGAGGGTGGGGTGGGTGGATATGAAGATGATCAGTGAGCTCGTGTCAGAAGAGCTCCTGGCCAGACTGGGGAAATCTTGAAGGCAAGAACCTTGACAGAGTCACCTTTGACTCTGCAATTGACCAGGAGGAGCCACAGCCTGCATCCCCAGCTCCCAGCATGTGGCACCTTTGGCCATGAACTCTGTGATGATGTAGATGGGCTCCTCCGTGACCACGGCATGCAGCTTCACCAGCTTGTCGTGCTGCAGAGTTTTCATCAGGTTGGCTTCTGCCAGGAACGCCTCCACAGACATGCTCCCGGGCTTCATCGTCTTCACGGCCACCTTGGTGTGCTTGTTGTAGGTGGCTGGAGTGGAACAGGGAGCAGGAAAGGGGGTCAGGACCCACTGCTCTTTCCCCACAGTTCTGGAGGACCCGGGTGCAGACCTGCCTCCTCCAGGACGCCTTCCCTGCCCATCTCAGCCCTTAGAGAGAGAAGGGGAGACGTGGGCTTTGGCCTCAGACAGATGTGGGTTGGAGGGCAGGTTTACCACTCCCTAGCTGTGTGCCCTTGGGCAAGTCACTCAACCTCTCTGAACTGTGGTTTCCTCATCTGCAAAGGCTCTTTCAGGGATTAAAGAATAACCTTAAAACATCACTCAGATTATGTCACTCACTCACACACCTACCTTTGTTTTGTCAGACATTCATACACATACTATCTTTGCTTAAAATGGTTTATTTAATCTTAACACTGCTCTCAAAATAAATACCAGTTTCATCATGGTCCATAACACCCTGCATGATCTGGCCTTGCCCACCTTGCCTCATCATCCACCAACACCCCCCTTACCTCTTGTGCACCAATCAGCCTGCGTATCATTCCCCAAGCAGCCAACTCCCCTTCCCACCACAGGGACTTTGCACATGCTGTTCCCTCACCTCACCCTACTCCTTCCCTGCTTCATCTTGTTGATCTTGTAAATCTCGTTGTTGCTTGTGTTTCCATGTTTGCCTTGGCTGCCAGGAAGCTCTAATCCAGAGTTGAGGTCTTCCTGTAGTAAGAGTCTAAGGCCTCATATAATATTTTTTGTTTTCCAACCTCATCAGCCCAATCTGTCTTACCTTCCTCTCCATACTTTCTCTGCCACATTCTCTTATTCAGTGCCCGGCACATAGTAGGCTCTCAATAAATATAGTTAAAATATGTGGATTTTAAACTTATTTTTTTCTGGCTGAATTGTTTGCATATCTGTAAGTTCTCTTCCCTCCCATTTGGAACATGGTGGAGTATAAACACAATGGGGGGGTGCCAGGCACTGGGCCAGGCATCCTGTCTAACCCACAGTCCTGCAAAGCAGGCTTTGCTATTCTTAGGTCATTAGAGGCAGGGCAGCAGGGGTGGAATATGACTTTTTGGTGCCCCACAATGCCCTAGCATGGCGCTGGGCACACGGCAGGTGCTCAGAACAGCTTGTTCATCAGCTGCCAACACTGAACTCACCTGGAAATCTCCAGTTATACTTTCCCATTCTTTTTTTTTTTTTTTTTTTTTTTTTGCCCCGCTGCATGGCATGTGGGATCTTAGGTCCCCAACCGGGAAGCTAAACCCGTACCCCCTGCGTTGGAAGCACAGAGTCTTAACCACCGGACCACCAGGGGAGCCCTATATTCTTTCCCATTCTTTTTTTTTTTTTTTTTTTTTTTTTTTTTGCCACGCTGCATGGCATGTGGGATCTTAGGTCCCCAACCGGGAATCTAAACCCGTACCCCCTGCATTGGAAGCACAGAGTCTTAACCACCGGACCACCAGGGAAGTCCTATATTCTTTCCCATTCTTAATTTTCATCATCCTAAGAGGTGTTCAGGTTATCTCAACACCCAACTAGTAGACTGTCCCAGCTCCATATGAGGGAGCAGATTCCTCAACTAGGACTCCTGCTTCCCAGAAGAAAGTGTTTGACCCCAACAGGCCTGGCCTCAAAGGCAAATCAGTGTTTGCATGGCAGGACAATTTGGTTTTCTATCAGAGAGGAACTGAAGAATTGCTCCTTTATGGTTATTATTCAAATCTCCCCTCTGCCCTGGGTGGCATTCCCACTTTGCCTCAGGCTGTTCCCAAAAGCAAGGACCTCCCTCTCCCCTCCTTCCCCTCCCCACTCTGGCCCTGGGTCCTTACCCATCCAGACTTCCCCAAACTGCCCAGCTCCAAGTTTCTTCTCCAGCCTGAGGGACTCCCGGGGGATCTCCCAGGCATCTTTCTCCCAAGGCTTCTGGGGTTTGGAGGATATGCAGGGCACTGTCAGCTTCTGGCAGAGTCCGTCGCTCCCCTCTGGAACAGAGCCCCTGATCAGCTGAGGGCAGCCAGCTCCAGGCCAGCCACAGGCTTCCCCTCGGGGGCTGCCCCACCTGGTCCACTGTATCTGGCCCATGTTCCAAAGGGTTGCCCCTATCAGGGACATTCCCAAGAGAACAGAGCATGATGAGATGCCACCTCTGCACTCCTGCTCAAAAGGCCTTCAGGAGAATCCGAAGCAACTATTTGTCTGGGGAGGAAGCATCAGCAGGCCTCTTGACCAGGATTCCTGGGAGACAGGCCCACCCACCTGGGTCCCCGGTTGGAAGGCAGCCCCAGTAGGGCTTACTCTTTTTTTGTTTGTTTGGCTGTGTCCCCCGGCATGTGGGATCTTAGTTTCCTGATCAGGGATCGAACCTGCACCCCCTGCATTAAAAGCGCAGAGTCTTAACCACTGGATCGCCAGGAAACTCCCAGGACTCACTCTTGTAGTGGGCCACCAGCTCCTGCAGGCTGCTGAAGGTGCTCCGGGGGGAGATGTAGAAGCCCCCATTGTCCAGGGTCCGGATCTTATAATGTTTCACTGTGTCCCCATGCTGGGGGTCGTAGTCTCGCACGGACAAAGAGTAGCTCCCTGCATGGGCCAGAGAGAAACCCCTCAGGAGTGGACTCTCAGAGGCCTGCCACCTTGTGTCAGCAACCTGACACTCTGTAAGGCCACTACTGGCACCTGCTCAGTGGAGTACAGGGTAGGAGTGGGCTGTGGAGTCAGGCTTCCTGGGTGCTTGTCAGGCTGCTCCATGTCCAGCTGTGAGACCTTGGACAAGTGACCAAGTCACTTCTCTGTGCCTCAGTTTCCTCATCTGTAAAATGGGATTGGTCATACCTCCTCACCCCATCACATTGCCTGATGGTTAAAAGAAGTAATGCTTGTACTCAGGATGTAAACACTCATTAAATGTTGGCTGTCATCATCTTCATTATTATCTCTTTTTCTTCCTATCATCTATCTATCTATCTAGCATCAATCACAAAAGCCAAGATACCGCACCAGTTTGGTAGAAACACTATTTAGAAACAAACAAGCAAAAAGATAAAACAAACACAAAAATATCCAGTTCAATTATTACAGTATAAACATTGAAATGTAAGTGTAAACATTAAATGCTGCGGCAGGCTGAGTAACAGCCCCCAAGATGTCCGTGTTTTAATCCCTGATACCTGTGCATATATTACCTTACACGGTAAAAGGGGTTTTGCAGATGTGATTCAGTTAAGGATCTGGAGATAGGGAAATCATCCTGGATTATCCAGGTAGGCCCAGTGTAATCACAAGGGTCCTTATAAGAGGAAGTAAGAAGGTCAAAGTAGGATATATGAAGATGGAAAGTTGAGGTTGGAGAGATGTGAGGAAGGGGCTATGAGGCAAGGAATGCTGGTGACCTCTAGAAGCTGAAAAAGGCAAAGAAACAGATTCTTTTGTGAAGCCTCCAGAAGGGACCAGTCCTGCGGACACTTTAACTTGAGCCCAGTGAGACTGATTTCAGACTTCTGACCCCCAGAACCGTAACATCATAAATTTATCTCGCTTTAAGCCACTAAGCTTGTGGTAACTTGTTACAACAGCAATAGGAACCTAATACACATGGCATCACATAGACCAGAAACACACACGTCTTTCAGTCCACGGCCACAGTTCTGCCATTTGTAAGCTGAGTATCCTTGGGCAAGTTATTAGCCTCTCTGTCTCTCAGTTTTCTCTACCACAGTAGCACCATGTCATAGGATTTGGGGGAGGTTTAAACTGTTGCATGAATAACAGTTGATCATACATGCTAGCCACTAAGAACCTTGTCTGGATAAAAAAATGAATGAAAGAAAAAAATGAATGAATAGGAAAAATATTCATTATAATGAATTATAGTTATATGTATTATGATAAATGATATTATTCACTATAGTGAATGAATAACCCCACAAGGTAGAGGTTTTATATCACCACAATTTTATAGATGAGGAGACTGAGGTCCAGGGAGGTGAAGTAACTCACCCACAGTCACACAGCTTGTAAGTAGCAGAGCTGGGAGTCAAACCCAGGCAGCAGGCTCTGGGACCCTGCTCTCAGCCACTCTGTCTGTCCAGTCAGGGTGACGCTGGTTTGGCCGATGCTGGGTGGGGAGAAGCAGAATCCAAGAAGCAGCAGGATAGGATTTGGGGCACTTGTGCTGCAATTTTTATTAACTCGGCGAACCCGCCTATGCCCCCACCTCTGAGGGCTGTGGCAGCGGCCCAAGCTCACCTTCCTGCCCCGTAGGTCTGCCCCTGTGTGCAGGATGGCCCAGTGGGAGAAGAGAAGCCGAGGGCTGTGCACGGCTTTACCTTTTTGTCCATTTCTTTTCCTCTGGGGGCTGAAAAGGGGCTTGTTGGGTGGGAGGAAATAAAGCCTAAATATTCACTGACCCAAAACACTGATTTTGAGTGGTGTTCTAGCCACATTCAGGCTTCCCCAGTTCAGATACCTAGGGAGTGAGTAGAAGGTCACACAGATGCCTTCGATTGTTGGCCCCAAAACTGTTTGCCCAGGGTACTGTGAGGTCACACTTTACGCAATTTACTGATTTCTTTGAACCAAGCAGTCTTGAGTCTAAACACCATAGTAAAGGTCCACTCTGTGTGGAATCCGAAATCACGAGACTCCTACTTACATTTATTCCTTTGGGAAAACTGGCCTCAGTTGATGTGTTTGAGTTACGCACTGTTTGGTGGCACTGCTCTTGCCTCCTGTGCAATGACCTGGCACAAAGCCACCCTCACAGCACAGTAATTTCAGGAAGCAGGCCACCAACATCAAAACTTCCAAATACATCAAAGGAGCTATTTTAAGCAGGGTCCCAGCGAAGGCCATCCTTTGGGAGGAGGCCACCCATTTTCGTATGGAGAGAGGGAAGAGTCAGGTCTAGGGACAAGATATATTTTGATGGATATTTAAAAGAATACAAGCAGAATGTTGTTTTTAGGGGCGGTCACTGCCTCCTACTTCCATTGGCCTAAGCCGGCAGCTCTGGGGGCTGAGAAGGCCCAAACTAGGCTTGAGCAAAGGGCAGGAGGAAGCTTGGAAGCCACAGTGGGCTGGTGAGTTGTTCAGGCCCCCATCCCCCAGGGCATTCCCCGTGGGGTAGGGGTGGGTGGGCAGGGACACAGGGCTGGGAGGGCCTGCATCACCTTTGGTGGTCTCGCTGTCCCGCATCATGAAGGAGCCCAGCACATTGCCAGGGGCCAGGAGTTGGCGCTCTGCATCCTTCCTGCGGATGCCCTTGAAGAACCACCTGGAGGGGAGGGGGGTGCAGCGTGTGAACCCATGGCGAACAATCCTGGCCGGCTCTCAGCGCTCTTGTCCGGCACCAGGATTCTGAGGGCCTGGCTTCCTGCGGGATCAATTTTACTCAGATTCTTTTGGGGAAACCAACCATTCTTTTAATATTTTAACATTAAAACAGACATTTTACCAAACTGGTGAATCCAGTTTGCTGAGGCTGGAACTTATGCAATTTGGGGAGCTTTCTTCAAGAAAAGTAACACAGCGTTACAAATACAAAATGCTCGTGGTCATTCCAGCACCACCCAATGTGAGGGATAAGGTGATGAACAGAAAGATTGGGTGGAAAAATACAGCAGTCTTAACCAACTGTGGTCAAAAATCTTACTTTTGCAAATTTCACAAGAACATTTGACCATCATTTCAGGGTCTTGGAGGCCCATGTGAGTGAGGGCTGAGCTTTGTTACTGCCACAGTTCATCCTCCTCTGTGGATACAGAGTGAATATAAAGTCGGCATGCATTTCTAAGCTAAAATGTGAGATTTCAAATGATTTTATACTTGGGACCATATCCTTGGACCTTTTCTTCATACTCCCTGGATGTTTGGGATCTTGGGTGGAAAAATTCATGCAGCAGCAACCAAATCCATTCCCTGAGGAGTAGTTCATGTGCTGTGATGGAAAAACCTCAGACCTGAGGTCAGCTGGCCTTGACCCTGCCACAAATCTACTGTGTGACTCTGAGCACGTCACTTTCCCTCTCTGGACTTCTGTTTCCTCTGCTATCAACTGGGGAGACAGACAGCTGACATTCATCAAGTTCTTGTTACCCACACAACAACTCTGTGGAATCATTGCCTTTATTATCCCCACTTTATAGATGAGGAAACTGAGGAACAGAGAAAGCAAGTAACTTGCCTGGCGTCATATAACTAGGAAGTGGTAGGGGCAGGATTCAAAGCCAGGCAGTCTGACTCCAGAGCCCAAGGTCTTAGTCACCATTCTACACCTCCCACTTGTCTTCTTTGCTCTCATTTGGTAAAGTAATTCATGCCATGGTAAAATGTTCAAGTAATGTTAAAGGGTACAGAGTAAGAGCTATCTCCCTGGCAATTCCATCCCTAGGAAGTTATCCCACCGATCTTGCACAGGAAGAAGTGACATATACGCAAGGAGATTCACTGCAGCACAAGACTGGAAGCAGCTTAAGTGACCACTGGCAGGGGATAGTGGGGCATCTACATGACAGACACTGCGGCTGTGAAAAGGAGGATACTGAAGGTGCTGCACGGAAGAGCTGAACAAAAGGAGCAGAACAGCGTGTGTTCAATCTACCACTTGTGTAAAATGGAGGGAGATATATGTATTTTCTTAATCAAGTATAAAGCATTTGGGAGGACGTACAAGAAACTGGTTGCTTCTGGAAGGGAAATAGCTGGGTGGGGATAGGGTGGGAGGAACACTTTTCACTCTTTATCCTAGGTCCTTCTGCACCATTTGCATTTTGAAACATTTGAAAATATTGCCTATTTCAAGGCAGATGAGGAAATAAGATCTCATCCCACGCTGATTCCAGTGCCCCAGCTGCCCTCCCCAGAGGCAGCCTCTGTGAGCAGTTTCTTGATGCAGACACAAGAACCCAGGAGTGTAAGACTCACATAAGTATTTAGGTCAGTGGTTCTCAAGGTGGGTCCCTGGACCAACAGCATCCGTCTCACCTGAGAACTTGTTAGAAATGCAAGTTATGAATCAGATAATCGGGGAGTGGGGCCCAGAAACCAGGGTTTTCACCAGCCCTCTAGGTGCTGCTGATGCACTCAAGTTCGAGAACCAGCCATTTAGGTTATCATCTAGACGATAACCCCACAGATGTCCTCTGCACCCAGCCTTTTCCGCTTAGCAATTATATTGCCTTCAAGGAGTAATACCAGCCATGCCTCTTTCGAGGCTGCTGCGAGGTGAGGCGTGACGCAGGGGCTCTGTAAGTGTTCAGAGCCCCGAGTGGGGAGAGTGCACGGACGCTCCAGCAGAAAGCCGAGAAAGAGAGAGAAGCAGCCCAGACCCCCTGCAGCACGTGGGGGGTGTGCTGGGGGAGTTCCAGGACAGAAGGTCAGCAGTGGAAGTGGGGGCTCCTTTACGGCCACAGAGGGGAGATTTCAAAGGGCAAAGAGGTTTCATGGGCACTAAGAAAGGGGTGACTTTAAGATGGGGAAAGCCCAAACATTGTAATGTTTAACAGACAAGTATCCCAAACCCTCAATACCATCTAGCCAGAGGGAGGAGGCAAAGGAGATAAAACCATGGGGACTGTCAGGTTTCAACTTTTTGACTGGCTGATTCTGAATTGGATCTATCACCACCCTATAGTGTAGCCATCTTTTTACTTGTCAATCTCACCGCCTACACTGTGAACATCTCCAGGGAGGAAGCCTTCCTGAGTCACCCAGTATCCCTGGAATAGGGCTGGGGGTACAGTAGGTGCTCAACAAGTGTCTGTGGGATGATTGGGTGGACGGATGAATGGATGAAGTCTAACTGTCTATGTTTTCAGAGTCAAGTAGGACACAAAGAGCCTGCAGTCAAGAATGATGGGTTACGGGGATCTCCTTGAGAGTGGGAGATGTCTCATGGACTCAGCAGCCCCCGCCTGGCACAGGGCTTGATGAGGCACAGGCCCATGTGTGCTGATGAGTCACGTGAGGGGTGACCGGCCGGGTGTGGGCTGGCTTGCCTCTCAGAGGATGCTCCTTGGCACAGCAGTATACTCCATCCAACAAATATTCATTGAGCACCTACTGCATGCCAGCCTGTGCCGAGGATGCAGCAGCAGGCAGAAAAGGTCCCTGCCCTCACGTACTCTCATTCTAGTGCGGGAGGCAGGCAGTGAACCCATGAACAACCAAGGAAACAAGATCATTTTTGCTAGTGAGAAGTGTCTAGAAGGGAGTAAAACGGGTTTCCATGAGAGAGAGAGTCTCAGAGGGGACCTGCTTGAGACCGCGAAGGCCTCTCTGAGACTGGAAAGATGAGAAGGAGCCAGTCAGGCAAAGAGCCCTAGGAAGAGTGTGCCAGGCAGGGGAGACAGTGAGCGCAAAGGCCCTGAGGCAGGAGCAAGGCTGGCTCTGTTCATGCTTCCTTCTGGAGGGCAGGGAAATAGAATACTCACTCCTCTGTCTCCAGAGAGTTGACTCGGGCAACGTAGTTGCTTGGGATGTAGCCCTCTTTCCGGGTAGCCAGGGATCGTGCTCTCCACCACTCCCCAGATCTGAGGGACAGGAGGAAGCAAAGGGGTTGGAGGGAAGGAGGACCACTCCTGGTCCTCTTGGGCCCCCCAGCCTTGGCCTGGAATACCCCCAACACCAGGAAGCCGGTAGGGTGAAGGGCAGGGCCACTACTGTCTCCGCTCCCAGCCTTCACCCCGTTAAGGTAAATCCCTTTACAACAATCCCCACTGTGCCTCTGAGGGTCTGCCCAGGGCCGGAATCAAGCCCTGTACCTGCATTCAGAGTCCTAGGTTTTTGGCCTCACTCTTATTCCCTGGACTTGTGGCCTTGGCCTTATTAGCCATATGTAAGGTGGGGCCCTATGCCCATGGCAGACTCACAGTGGCTCGTTGGGGCTGAGAGCCAGAAGGAGTGGGCTCAGGAGTCTGACCAAGCATAACCACTCCCATCCTTGGGCCCCAGGACATACTAGACACTACATCCACTGATGGTGAAGATGGTAGGAGATTGGAGGTAGCAAGCCCAGAGATCCATGGATTTCTGAATGCAAAGTCACCTCAGCAGGGTCTGGTCCATAGGTAAGGCTGCAGCTTAACCATAGGAGCCCAAGGAAGGCTTCCCTGAGAAAGCACTTTCTACTGTCCATCCTTGCCTGGATGTGCCATTAGCAAGTATGCAAAAGCCCCTTTACTGTGGCTGTAAGCCAGGTTAACAGCAAACTCTTCCTTCATTACGATCAGGTTCTCATCAGTCATTTACACCCTAGTGTAATATAGTTTATCAGGTCCTTTACTGAAGCACACGAGAGCATAACTGAGTATTGGAGATAGGTATGTCTCAGAGGGGAGTGGAATGGGGACTCACTCTTCCAGGACCACCATCTGGTCCCCCTTCTGGAAACTGAGGTCTTCATGGTGAATGGCCTCGTAATCATACAAGGCAACCACAGTGATCTCCTCAGAACCTGCTGGGAAGAGACATGTGGGATGGTGAGGCTTTATCTGAGCACACCCACAGTCCTGGGTGTTTCCCACCCCAACACCTGGCACCCAGCCCTGGACCCCTTGATGTGTCTGTCTCGTGATATAAGTAAGCATCTTGCCATGCCAGCTGCGATTCTTGAGTTTAAAGCTAACGGAGTTTTGTTCATGTTATGAAACAACATTATAGAAAAACAATAGCTTGTACCAAGTACTTTGGGGGAAATTTATGGGATTTTCAAGAGTGGTTTTGACTGTTTGGGATTTTTGCCTCAAGCTCTGACTGAGAACCTAACCTAATCGGCTACATAACACGACTCCACTCCACGTGCTCGCCAGCTACTTACCCTCTGTGGACGCTGGTGGGTTGCCGTTGCTACTGTCAGGCCACTGTGGGGAAGAAATGGGAGGGGAGGATGAATCCAATAGTGTGTGTGTAGCCATGGAAGGTCTGTGTCCGAAAGGATATCCCAGCCCTGTGAGTCATGGGAGGAGGCCCAGAGAGGACTGGGAAGTGCCCAAGGTAACACAGCACATTAGGGGCACAGCCAGCACAAGGACGCAGGTCTCTTGGGTTGTAGGCTCTGCCTTCAGCCTTGGACGTACTGGGGGACGTACTTGTGCCTTCCCCTCGACATACGGTGAGGGGCTTGGTGCAGATCAGTGTTTTCCAAGCTATGTTTGAAGAAACCCTAGGTCTACCAACATGGCCCATGAATAAAGGCTCCACTATGTATGTGAAACAACCTAAGTGTCTGTCTAAAGGGGAATTGGTGCCTACACTGTGGTGCTCTAAGCAGCCCTTATAAGAGGGAGGCCGTTTCATTCCTGACACAACGAGACCTCAAAGATACATTGTTGAGTAAACAAAGCTAGATCTTCAGAATGGTAAATATGATACATTGGTATAAAACACATACTCAAACATCCTAAACACTTTCTGTGGACACATACTGTACACATGTGAGTGTAAATTCATGGAAAAAAGTTTGCAAGTTTCCAGGCCAAACTGGCAACAGCTGATACCTCTGAGGTAGGGTGTGGTATTTCTAGGGAGGGGGACATTCGTCAGCAGAGACTGTAGCTTTCACTGAAATCTGTGATTTTTATTTTCGAGTAGAATGCATTTGTGTGTTACACACATAAGTAAACATTAATTTAAAGAAATAGGTTTGAGAAACACTAAGAAGTATATCCTTTTTGGGGAGATTCACAAAGCCCATTACAAAGATTTAGAAAGGCTCTGAGTCCTACAGGGAAGGAGTGTTTGGCCCAGAGTTTTGCAAACTGATTTGACCTGGGAAACCTTTCTCAGTTACTAACTTACTGCTGAGCCAGTGCTCTGAATGAGGGGAACAATGAATGGCTGATAATAGTGTCCCTTAAACCTGATGCTCAGAGAGAACAGCCAGAAACTGGTGGGAGAAAATCCTCTGCTTCCCACTGCTGACAAGCCAGAAGGCCTCAGAGAACCTGAGAACCTGGAGCCCTGGCCACAGAAAGGGCCCCGGGACATGCAGGCCAGGTGAGAAGCAGACCTCGGAGTGACTTAGGGTTTAGGATGTCAGCTCAGGATCTCGTGTAACCTCAGGCTGTATTAATAGATGTCAAGTGTCAGGAGGAGGGAGGTGAATATTCCGCTGTTCTCCCATTTCCACGTGTTTGGGGCAGGACTAAGGGGCCGGTATGTGATCCAGGAGTGAGGGTTATGGGGTAATATGCCTCCCTTCAATACAAGGAGGAACCTTCTAAGGGGCGCCAGGAAAGAGTGCCCCCCTGCCTCTGCAGGCAGCGAGCAGAGGCTGTCCTTCCTGGACAGCCTCAGGTAAGGGGATGGACGAAAGGATCCTATAGGAGAGAGAACCTAGCCTTGAGTTTAGGAAGACCCAGCTCTGCTGCTCCCCAGTGGTATGAGCCACTGTGGTATGAGGCCACAGTGGTATGAGGTTAAATGGTATGAGCCATTTAACCTCTTTGAGCCTCAGTCAGCCTGGCTGTAAAGTAGCGTAACTCCAGCCTCAGTTTTTGGTGAGGATTAATGAACAGAAATACCTCACTCCAGTGCCCGGAACATAGTAGGTTTTCAAAGAACGTAATGATTATTACAACTGTTACTGCTGCTTTTAGTACTGCTGTCCCTTTACTAGTACGATTATTGTAATCACTACTGTTACTACTGCTATGGCTCTTCTGACTATCACAACTACCATTACTAGTGGGGCTACTTTTATGGCAACTACTGCACCCAGGACCCCCACTATTGCCACCATGACTACTGCTCCTGTCACTAGCATTTGGCTCTGTTACTCTTGTTCCTACCCCTGGGACATTGGAACCTGCACTGCCCAAGTTTCAATCCTTACAACCAGGTGGTCTTCAGCAAGTTATTTAATCTCTCTGTGTCTCATCTGTAAAATGGGTATAATACAAATTGTGACCTACAAGAGCACTATTGTGAGGATTAAAGGTGTTAATAACAGTAATGCACTTAAGGTAGGGCTTGGTTCATCATAAGCTCTGTAGAAGTGTAAGGGAAGCAAGCAAATAACCTCTGCTAGTATTACCACTTCTCTCATTTACTCTCTCTGCTTTGGTTCCTACTGCTATTGCTGTTAGATTCCCACTAGTATTGTTGTTACAGTTACTGCCATGATGCTGATACTGTCATCATTCCTGTCATTACTTCAACTGCTGTTGTCACTAACCTGCTCACTCATTACTCTCAGTACTGCTTATGGTACTTCCTAGGTGTGAGGCTGGCCATGCCCCCCTGGGACCTGGTCACCCAGGCTGATGGGCCAAGGCCTGGGCAGTGGGACAAGGGGCAGTGACATCCCTGCCCTGGGTGCTTGGTGCAGGTGTATCCTGGGGAGTCAGGGAGCTGCCGGCGACTGGTAAGCTCCATTTCACCCCAGACTCATCCTGCTCGCCCTTGGGAAAACAGGAAGCGGTGAGGGCAGTTTGGGGAAGCCCCTGGGCTGCTGCCGGTCTCCCCTTTCTTCCCCAACTCACCCGCTTGCCCGAGGACGTGGGATCCGGCACATACAAAGTGCTGTGTGGGCTGGTGTTGGGCTCAGTTTTTGAGACCTTGCCTCCATCCCGGAGGAACTTGGACTTCACGCACCCCATCCTGTGGTAGAGAGAAGGGAGATGAGCCCCGCTTGCTCTGAGCTCCACACGGGGGAGTCTTTGATGCTGGGCTCTAGACCCCGTGTTCCCAGGCTGGCACCCTGTCACCTTCCCTGTCTCCCCTCCCCCTCTCTGCCCCCCTCACCCCACCCTGGCCACGTGGAGCTCACTCTGCCCTTGTCATCTCTCTGGGCTTCCCCACACCACATCTGGCCCGCACCCACGCAGAGCTGACAAGCTGTCGTAGTCATGCTACCAAGGACCCCTGCGATGGGGAGTTTATTCAGAGAATAAATCATGATGATCATTGAAATTCAACAGGTGGAGCCTCGGAGCAGAGTGGGGGGAGAGGGGTGGGAGCTGCCAGCTCTGGGGTCAGAAAGCCTGGGCTGACGCTTGACCCCTCCCTCCCCGACTAGCAGCTCACTTACCACGCCCCCTGCTCCCCAGTCTCAGTTCCTCATCAGCAAAGTGGGGATAATAATACGACCTGCTCGCCGGGCATTAGGAGGACGAGAAAGCACGTGGGTGGGGAAATACTCAACACAGAGTCAGGCTCAGAGCAAATGGTGAAGTAAAACTATACTCTCATTATATAACGTGAACATTTTATATAAAATTATAAAGATCAGGTCACATAATGCGGCTCAAACAATCAAGGTCACCGTATTCCTCATATCATTTTCTAGTCGCCATCTAACATCTTCCTTCCTTCTTCTCTCCCTCCCCCCCACCCCTTTTTCTTTTTTTCTTCCTTCCCTTCTTTCTCTCATGGGTTTATTTGGTCATTCAACCATTCATTTACTCAGCAGACATTTACTGAGCACTCTTCTAAACCATGATTAAGACAAGCAAGTTCATGCCCTTATGGAGCTCACTCTGGAGATGGATGGGAGACACAGACGATAAACAGGTAACAAATAAATAACAAGATAAATTCAGTTAGTGAAAAGTGTGAGGATGATAAAAGAGGATGTGATCAGGAACAACTATGCGGGGCCTCTTTACACAGGGCGGTTGGGGAAGGCCTCTCTCAGGAGGTGACATTGGACCTGGGGCCTGACTGACACAAAGGAGCCAGTTATGTAACACTCTTAGGGAACAGTGTTCCAGGCAGAGGGAACAGCAAGTGCAAAGGAATGTGCTTGAAGAGAATCAGGCACTGAAAGGAGGCCAGTGTGACTGGAGATCACAGGCAGCAGAGAGAGGATAGCATGTGACAAGGATGCCCCATGTTGTGAGGAGTTTGGATTTGATTCTAAGGATGATGGGAAACCATGGAAAGTTTCAAGCAGAAGGATGACGGGGTTCAGTGTGTACTTTAAATAATCCCATTGGCTGCTCGGTGGAGTATGGACTTTAGTGAGCAGGGCAGGGAGCCCTGTCCACTGCAGGAGTCCAGGCTTGAGATGATGGTGGCCTGGCCCGGGGTGGTGGCTATTGAGGGGGTAAGAAGTGGACAGATTCGGGGGACATTTTGGAGGTAGAGCTGACAGACTTTGCTGGTGGATTAATCAAATTTAAAGACACTTAAAGAAAACACTTTTACCTGATCAGAGACAAAACTTAATTGTTAAAGTGGCAGAAACTTTTTCTTTCTTTTCTCAAAATGTGCACGTGTATTTGCTGAGAAGATAGTCTGTGAGCAGCCACATAAGGAAGTAACCGTCTTCCTCATCTCTACACAATCACAATTTTCTTCTAAAGCAGTTAGAACTCACTTATACTTATCTTGTTAAAATAAACGTGTGTTTGTGGCTTAAGAAATAACCCTAAATTCCTAGGTTAACGACAGTTTTTTTTTTTTTTTAAAGATTCTTTTTATTTACAAGGATGTTTTCTGTCTGTTCTGGTGGGAACTGGGAACAGTTTACCACATCAAGACTTGACCGGTTTTTGCTTCATTCGCCTTTTGCGAATAAAGTAAGGAATTAATCCAGACTCCTGGAGCGCTAGATCATTATTTTGAAAAATTATTGCAATTAATCAGTGCTTTATAATGTACTTGTATGCACTGAAAACAAAAACCAATATCTCTCTGACTTGTGATAAATATGGTTTACAGTTGTGGGAAATAAAACAGCATATTGTGTGGTTTTGTATGACATAAAATTATATTACATTTCATATATTTTGATTAACTTAAGGGTGTTCTGGGAAGAGCATAGCTGTGTGAGGTAGAGCCTCTCCCTCCACCTCTCTGAGTACCTATTTGGTATGCCTTACATCATCAATTTACATATTCAGCATGGCCACAGGGTCTTGAGGGATGGGTCTCCCCAGGCATGAACATGCATGATCCATGGATGGTGGGGTTCTACCTCCCGGGGTGGCTGCAATCACAGATGAGTTGAGAAGTGTAAAGGTGTCTGCCACACAACAAGCGCGACAGAAATGTTAACCATACCATTTCCGTTCCCTAGCAGATGTGGCACTGCCCTGGAGCATAAAGCAAGCACTGTTTGCAAGTCCTTTGGCCTACAAGTGTAGAGATACCACAATACTCTAGAAGTTAGCTTTTTAAAATAGGGAATTCCCATTAGTTCAATTTTTGCACAATAAGGTTTTTTTTTTTTAAAGTGATGTACTGGCAGGAGTCAAATTTGCATAAAATGTGATTTCCCCCTAAGCCAAGAGAACCATTCTACTGCCTGGTCTGGAGTGGCCTCAGAAATGCTTATTTTCATGACCACTAGACCTAGCTATGTAACGTGAGCCACGTATATAATTAAAAATTTTCTACAGCCATATTTTTTCAAGGTAAAAAGAAACAAGGGAATTAATTTTAAGACGTATTTATTTTTCCCAATATGTCAAAATTATTAACATGTAATCAATATAAAATTATCATTGAGATACTTTATATATAAATATTTTTTTCATGCTGAGTCTTCACATCCCAGGGTGTGTTTTACACGTACAGCACATCTCAGCTAGGACTCGCCGTGTTTCACGTGCTCAAGAGCTGTCTGTGGCTCAAGCTACTGTACTCAGCAGTACAGATACAGAACGTTTCCATCTCTGCAGCACAGCAGAGGCTGGTCTTGTTCATGTCTGTGTCCCTCAGCGCTTAGCTCAGTGCCTCCCTGGCACACGGTAGGAGCATAATGCACCGTCAGTGAGTAAATACATGCCCAGAGCCCATGCTTTATGTGGTCAGGCCAAAGTAAAAGCATCAGGACCTGGTTCCTGCTCCAGTTGGGATGGGAAGACTGGACATACAGAACTACATTCCCAAGAAGCTGTTAGGGATTGGCAAGGACAGTCAGAGCCATGCAAAGACTGCTAAAATACTTAGTGAGAAGAGCAAACTGCAAAACATATATAATATCAAGCCATTTTGTAAAATGAATATATATCTGGGTTCTGCCACTAACATGTGTATGTTAGTTTGTTCATAGGAAAAACAACCTGTTTATAATAATTGAGCAGCAGGATAATGAGTTGTGTTTTGAAGAATGGGAAGGATTTCAATAAAGATTGGGGGAAACTCAAGAATGTTCCAAAGAAACACTGACTTTCAAAAAGGATTTGAGGGAGCTTATAATATTAAACCATATACAGAGCACTTCAAGACTCAAAAAGGGTTATGCTACACCATTTAGAAAGGAAAGATTATTGAACCAGAAGCCTAGGGTGCTACTGCTACTGCCATTGAGTACTAGATTTATCTCTGAGTTTCCTAGCAGCCAAGATAAAAATGGCAATTTGTACATTGTTAACATAAAATCCCAGGAAGCATGGCAATTTACTGAGAGAAACAAATATTTTTTGAGCATTAAATTCAAAAGAGATTTTATTATGTGGATCATCCTATAAAGGTCACTGAAGAACACAATGAACAGTGATTTGGCAGCAAAGTCTGCTATATGTTGACAAGTAGTTCCCAAATACATGATGCTGATGTTTGGGTGGGTTTGGAAACCATGGGATGGGAGTGGGGAGAGGGTGAGGGAAGAGGTTTATATATCCCAGGGCTTCTCTGCAGAGTGGGGGCTGCACAGTTGCTTAAACTGAGTTAGAAATATAAGAGTGCCTGGCTACTCAGAGTGTGGCCAGCATGAAGACCGGCAGCATTTTCCTACCGGAGGCGGAGGCATTAGAAATGCAATCTCGGGCCCCACCTCCCAAATCGGAATGTGCGTTTTAACAAGGCTCAGGTGATTCACGTGATCATTCTAACTGAGAACCGGGCAGAGTGAACATTTTTTGCTCTTGCTTCCTCAGCATCCATCCCTTTTCTGATAACAGTGCCTGGATATTCCTTGGGCACCCAGCTTCTCCCACTCAGTGGGGTTTCAGGGGGCTACCCCACCCTTGCCTTCAGGGATTGACAACTTGATACAGGCCCAGCCCATTAGAGAATTCCATGTTCCCCGACAACCAATGGTGCTTGGTTCAGTTATAGGTATGTATGTGATCCTAGCCAAGGCAGAGTCTGCCCTGGGGTTTTGCTGGAAAAATTAGGGAAAAGGCACTCTCTTTCCATAAGTGTTGATGTGGATGTGAATGTAGATGTAGGTAGGTATAGATGTGGATGTGGATGTAGATGTGGATGTAGCTATAGATGCGGATGTGGATGTAGGTGTAGATGTGGATGTGGATGTAGGTGTGGATGTGGATGTGGATGTAGGTGTAGATGTGGATGTAGCTGTGGATGTGGATGTGGGTGTAGATATAAGTGTAGATGTGGATGTGGATGTAGATGTAGGTATAGATGTGGATGTAGCTATAGATGTAGATGTGGATGTGGATGTAGATGGAGATGTGGATGTGGATGTAGATGGAGATGTGGATGTAGATGGAGATGTGGATGTAGCTATAGATGCGGATGTGGATGTAGGTGTAGATGTGGATGTAGGTATAGATGTAGGTATAGATGTGGACGTAGCTATAGATGTAGATGTGGATGTGGATGGAGATGGAGATGTGGATGTAGCTATAGATGCGGATGTGGATGTACGTGTAGATGTGGATGTAGCTGTGGACGTGGATGTGGATGTGGATGCAGGTGTAGATGTGGGTATAGATGTAGATAGAGATGTAGAAAACTGGATATCTTGGGAGCCATCATGAAGGGAGGGACTGCTTTTGAGTGAAGCCATCACAAAGGACAGCAGAGCTGAGCAATGGAGACAATGTGATTCCCGAAGACATGTTTGAACACCTGGATCCAGCTATGCCTAAAACTTTCCAACCTCAGAATTTTTCTAATCCATGAGCAAGTAAATTCTCAATTTTGCCTAAGCCAGTTTGAGTTGGATTTCTGCCACTTGTACCCAAATAGTCCTCACTGATTCTTTCATATTCCTGGGCCACACTCTGGATTGAATGAACTAGAGTTTCTGGGGATGTAGGCCTGGAATCTGCATTTCTAACAATTCTTTAGGAGATTCTTATCATACTAAAATTTAAGACCAACCAATGTAGTAGAATGAAGGCCAAACTTGGGGTCTGAATACTTGGGTTTGGATCCCAGTTCTGCCACTGACTGGCTGTTGTAACCTTGAGTAAGTCACTTCCCCTCTCTGAGCCTCATTTTCTTCCCTGTATAATAGAAGGCACTTGCTTCTCAAGCTTGTGGGACAGAGATGTGAAAGGCTTTTTAAAATTTCTAAAAACACATGTTTCTTGTCTAATCTGATTCGAAACCAGGCTCTGAGAGCAGAAGTGGCCTGCCTGGCCCCAGACTAACTTAGAACAGCTGATCCCTGACAAAGACACTTGCTCAGGTCACTGCTGAACTCCTGGGACCTGAAACCAGCTCCTTGTCCCCTCAGCTTCTGCAGGTGCTGCATGGAAGGGAAATGAGAAAGTTCAGCTTGCTTGGCCTGGCTGCTTCCCATGGTCACCGTGCTGGCTATGGAGGCCTCAGAGACGCCTCCTGAACTCTCAGAGCCAAGCCCAGGTCCTGCCTGTGCATCCTGGGGAGCAGGCGGGAGATGGTTTTCTAGGAGCTTTTAGGCTCAAGCAGAGGCTTGTGAGGGCTGGGGGAGAGGAGCCCTGGAGTTTAGTCCCACCTCTGCCACAGACTCACTGTGTGACCTCAGGAAAGTCCCAGCCTCTGGGCCTCAGTTTCCCCAAATATGAAGTGAGATGTTGGATGATAAGTTCTCTGAAGGGAACAGCTATAGTTCTTTCCTGTGTAGCGTCTACTCCTCCATCTTTTGACAACAGCTCCCCAGTTTTCTTTGGGAACCACCCCTCCCCCATTCTCAACCCATGGATTGCGGTAAACTTGACTTCTACCTCTGGCTGTAGGGGTGGGTCTGTGACCAAGTCTGGCCAATCAGACTTGCTGTAATAGAAGCAGAGATGGGCATGTGACTCAATCCTGGCCCATGAGAATCATCCGTTTGGCTGGAAAAGAGGCTTGCAGTTGCAAAGCAGAGCCAAGAAATGAAGAAATACAGATTCTCCAGCCCTACCTGAAGTTGATATGCTCGTGGACTTTCCAATAACCCCCTTCTTCTGTTTGAGCCAGTCTGAGTTAAATTTCTGCTCCCTTAAACCTCAAAGGGCCCTGCCCAGTGCAAAGGAAATTCTTACAAGGGATTGCAATTCATACTCAAGTGTTAATGGCTTACGGGAAAGACTGCCTTGATAGGAAGTTTGATGGAAGAAAGTAAAGAGAGTACTAGACCCATTAGAGTAGGTGAGGGTGTGTGAAGTATGGACCCCATGAAGATGACGGCACTGAAGCCATGCCTAGAAAGGGCCTCCATATATATTTGTGGAATGAATATATTGTGTTCAACCCTCTCTAGGCCTGACCATACTTGGCTGAAGTCAGCAGGACCAGAATTATGAACCCATCTGTCAGATGGGGAAATGGAGGCCCACGGCAGAGAGCATCCCCAGGTGATCAGTGGCAAGTAGAACAAGAACTCAGCTCTCCTGCCTCTCATCCTCCACTGGGTGAGCCTCAGAAGCTGCAGTGGGGAAAGGGGAGGGGGGATGAGTAACACAAGCAGGAAGCCTAGGAAGGCAGAGACTGCCAGAGGCCCAGGGCTCAAGGCTGCTCAGTTAGAGGAAACTTCCCTTCTCCGAATAGCTCAGCCATGGGGGTGGGGGAGAAAGCCTTCCACTATGAGGGACCAAGTCCCTCATAGTAGGACTGTAGCCCTACAGCTACAGCTACTGTAGCCCTACATAGTGGGACTGTAGCCCTACAGCTCCCTCTTCTCAAGTTCCCTGACTGTCTTCTGAATGAACCAGCCAAACCTCCAAGTGACTGTTATCCATAATGGACATTTAGGGGTCACCCCTGTCTCCCCATCTCTTCCCTTTTCTGACCCTCAGCTTCTTTCTGATCAAGAGCTCAAAACTTTGACTTTGCAAAGAGGAAGGAACTGGAGAGAACTTTGTTTTACAGATGGGAGCAGCAGCCCCAGAGAGGGCGGGTGTGATGCCCTGGTTTACACAAAAGCAAGTGACAGAGCAGCACACTGAAGAGGAACTCGGGCCTTTGGTCATTTGCCTCACTTGGCCAGAGGGTTGGCTCTGAGATGCATGTGTTCCAACCACTTGTTCCAAACATGTAGTAAGTTTTTAGCATGTTCAATGTTACCTCTGGTCACCTGGTCAACTCCAGAACTCAAGGGCACTTGCGAGCCTCCTTAGAATAATACTATCTTTTTTTTTTTTTTTTTAATGGTACGCGGGCCTCTCACTGTTGTGGCCTCTCCCGTTGCGGCGCACAGGCTCCAGACGCGCAGGCTCAGTGGCCATGGCTCACGGGCCCAGCCGCTCCGCGGCATGTGGGATCTTCCCAGACCTCCCGGACCGGGGCACGAACCCGTGTCCCCCGCATCGGCAGGCGGACTCTCAACCACTGTGCCACCAGGGAAACCCAGAATAATACTATCTTTAAGGTAGGCAGGGGGCAGGGAAGTTTGGAAAACATAGGACAGGATTTGAAGCCAGAAAGAGCTGGGTTTGAATCCCCATTCTGCCTCTTACAGAAGTGAGCCTTTTAAAAATATACGTCAAGTCATGTCGCTCCTCTGCTCCTGCTCCTGGGGCTGCCATCTCACTTGGAGTAAAAGCCCAACTCCCCTCTATGGCTGGCAAGGCTCCATGACCTGGAATCCCCTCAACCTCACAGTCCTGTCTCCTCCAGCCCTCCCTTGATGTTTCCATTTCAGCCACACTAGCCTCTTGCTACTCTTCAACTCACCAACCATGTGTCCACCTAAGGACCATTGCACATGCTGCTTTCTGGAATGTTTGTCACCCAGAAAGCCTCTTTCTCTTCATGCAGATCTCTTTGCAGATCTCACTTTCTCAGAGGGGTCTTCCCTCATCACCCTGGCTAAGATAGGAACTCCGCCCCCAACTCCCATCACTTTCTGGCCCCTTTCCAGCTCTATTCTTCATGGCTTTAACCACCACCTAACGTGGCAGCCAAGAGGAGGGGCCTCTCAGATCTCCAACTACTGAGAACAGAATTGACAAATGGCCCCAGCTGCTGTGCTTTGAAGACCATCACTGTTGCCATGGGCTGCTCCCAGCCAGGGACTGAGTGTGGCAGGGATACTGAGGCAGGCCCGTGCCAGGGGGACCTCTGATGGGAGACTTTGGCTAAGGGCTCTTTGACAGCCTTGCCAAACTTCCTTAGAACTGCCCTGCAGTCTAAGACACTTCCACCTTCCCTTCCTTGCTTGTTCTCTTCCTTCCTCCTTCCTTCCTTCATTTGGAGTCAGACCTGCCTGCTATCTGATGGCTCTCTTAGCCTCTCCTAGCTTCTCCCACAGACATTCCCTCTAATCAATTTCTTGCACATTTAATCTCTCTGAGAGTCTGCTTCTCAAAGGACCTGAACTAACACACTTATTGTTACCTGTGGATGTATCATCTGTCCTCCCACAGAAAGTAAGATACATGAGGGTTATGATTGTTTGGTACATGGCTATATACTAGTGTGCAAAACTAGGACACAGTAGGTGCTCAACAAATTCTTGACTAATTGAACAAAGCGCCCTTTAGCTGCCAGGGTGCCCTAGATTTCCCCATTTAAACAATAGTTACAAATGTGTGTTTAAACTGAGAAGGACTCTCCATGTTTGTTTATCTCTGCTTGGAGAGGAACAAAGTCTTTCCTCAATTGAAGCTGAGTGGAGGTGGCCCCCTTCAGAAAGGACATGGTGGCCAGTTCGCCCCAGGGACAACTTTTCACTTCAACCTCCCAGTGTGCTCCAAGGTCAGCTGCCCCCAAATCTGTCCTCAGCATATGGAAACATCAAAGCCAAAATAACACATCCTCTGACCCTTTTACACTTATTTTTTTTATAGTTGACAGAGCCTATTCTTTTCTGTTTTGGTGGGTATGCGTTTTTGTTTTTAAAATTACCTTTCATCACCTAGTAAAACAATACACCGTCCTTGTTAAAAATGAAAACAAGGACTTCCTTGGTGGTCCAGTGGTTAAGACTTCACACTTCCACTGCAGGGGACCCGGGTTTGATCCCTGGTCCGGGAACTGAGATCCTGCATGCCTTCGCGGGGTGGCCAAAAAAGTTTTAAAAAGAAAAATTGAAAACAATACAGCGAAATCTAAGGCACCCTTGGAGTAAGGCTTGTAAGGTACCCTTTACAGGCTCTCCACGGCCACCCCTCCCCCCTCCAGGTAGGCTCTGCACGTGCGTTTGCATACATGTACTATATCAGAGAAGATGCTGTCGGCGCTCTGCCCCATAGCTCAGCGCTTCACCATTTCCGAACACTCGCTGGACGTCCAACTGCTAGTACCTGCATCTCTTTGCCTAAGAGATTTCTCTGTGGCCCTTGGTGTCTGCTCTGCCCTTGAGCTTGGCAAGTGGAAGTGCTAGAGAATCACCATCCCTCAGGAACAGCCCTCGACCAGTGGCTGACAGGAGCAGGCGGATAAATACCCCAGTTCCTTTGCTTCTCAAGCGCGGTCATCAGCTTCCAGTGGAAATGAGCTCCAGGTGCCCACAGCGGGACTGGCTTGATAACACACCTTGATTGGCTGCCTTCTCCCCTTGTTTTGCTTCCCCACTCTCCTACCAGGGTTTTCTGGGATCTGCTCCCAAATAAACTAAATAGTAAATGCATTTGAAATCTTTTCTATGGTCTGCTTCTGGGGCAACTCAATCTGAGACATATATACCTATAGAAAATATGGAGTATCATTTTTTTTTTTTGCGTGTTAACATCAAAGGAATACTGTTCTGCATGCATCATGAGGCAGTATTCTTATTCTCATTTTTTAGACGAGGAAATTGAGACTCAGAGGTGAAGGAATTTGCCTGATGCATCACAACTTATATGAGGCAATGTCAGAACTCAAACTCAGGTGTCCTGTGCTCTGTCTACTCTGCTTCATTTCTCTGGCAGAGTTGAGGGAGGGTCTCCTATTCTCTTGGTTGCACCTAAGTCTCCTGGACCAAAGGATTTCATGGTGATGGTGGGAGCTCGGGCAGGTGTCATAGGGCAGGATTAGGAATGCAAGCCCCAGTGCAGTGCCATCCAGAGGGTGCAGCATGTGTGGCCACATCCACTGCCAAGAACAGGGCACATTTTACATTCAAGCAAGGGTTTCTTCTGTATCATTACCCATGCCTCTGAAAGTACACTAAAACTCCCAGTCCTGGGGTGGAGGAAACTGAAGAAATGGGATGGGGATCAAAGTGCTGTGAGGGGGGACTTCCCTGGCGGTCCAGTGGTTAAGACTTCGCCTTCCAATGCAGGGGGTGCGGGTTTGATCCCTGGTTGGGGAGCTAAGATCCCACATGCCTCGTGGCCAAAAAACGGAAACATAAAAACAGAAGCAAAGATTGTAACAAATTCAATAAAGACTTAAAAAAAAAAGTGCTGTGAGGGTTTGCTTAGAAAGACAGAGGCTAAGAGAGATTGTACTACTAACTTTGTGTGTAACTTTGGGAAAGTTACTTACCCTCTCTGGGCCTGACATTTCTTTTCTATTTAAAGGGAGGCCTTGTCATGATCGGAGGGCTGGGCTTGAAAACTCAAGTGGCTATAGGGGCCCACAGGGCCATCCACATGAGGAAGGTGGTCCGGGCAAGGGTGCTGCAAACCGGACAGCTCGGGGCAGTCTACAGGGCAGGCCCATTCAGCATCACCAACGCTGCCATGAGTCAATAGCAGGGGAGCACAGGAGACCAAGGTTCTAGTCCCAGGACTGTCAGCTCTTCCAGTTTTTCAAGAGAAGACAGAAATCCAGATTTATGTGAGCTCTCTTGACTTTAAATGTTAGCAACTAATTTAAAAAGAATCACTTTGTGGGGTCAATTGAAATACACCTAATTGCTGAAATACCTCCTAGGCAAGGGAGGGAGGGACTGTTCAACGTCCCTCAATTCCGTATTTTTGAGAGGCCCTACTATGTGCCAGGTGCCAGGTGTTAGAGATACAGTAGTTTAGGAGACAGACATGTCTCATGGGACTTAACTTCTAAAATAGTTTAAAGTCCAAGCCCTGACCAGTCCTCTGAATGCAGACAACTTTCTCCTCATCCTCTGGGGTAAGGGGCCCCACAGAGCATCCTGGTTAGGGTGAGATTAAGATTCATGCTTCCCACGCCCATTAGGATGGCTCTAATAATTTTTTTTTTTGCGGTATGTGGGCCTCTCACTGTTGTGGCCTCTCCCGTTGCGGAGCACAGGCTCCGGACGCGCAGGTTCAGCGGCCATGGCTCACGGGCCCAGCTGCTCCGCGGCATGTGGGATCTTCCCAGACCGGGGCACGAACCCGTGTCCCCTGCATCGGCAGGCAGACTCTCAACCACTGCGTCACCAGGGAAGCCCTCTAATAATAATTTTTTAAAAAGGAAAATAGCAAGTGTTGGCCACAATGTGGAGAAATTGGAACTCTTGTACATTGCTGATGGGAATATAAAGTAGTGGAATACAGTCTGGCGATTCCTCAAAAGTTAAACATGGAATTACCATATGACCCAGAAATTCAACTCCTAAGTATATACCCAAGGGAATTGAAAACAGGTGCTCAAATATATGTACATGCATGCTCATAGCAGCACCATTCACAATAGTCAAAACGTGGAAACAACCTGAATTTCCATCTACAGATGAATGGATAAACAAATTGTAACGTATACATACAATGAAATACTATTCAGCCATAAAAGGAATTAAATGTGTCAGTATTTAACTGGATGAACCTTGAAAACATTATGTTAAGTGAAAGAAGCCAGTCACAAAAGGTGTGGCTTTGTGTGATTCAGTTTACGTGAAATATCCAGAATAAATTAATCCAGCGATACAAAAAAGCAGGTTGGTGGCTGCCAAGGGCTGAGAGGAAAGAGGAACAGAGTAACTGCTTAATGCGTACGGCGTTTCCTTCTGGGATGACGAAAATGTTTTGGAACTACACAGAGGTGCTGATTGCACAACACTGTGAATGTGCTAAATGCCACTGCACTGTTCACTTTAAAATGGTTAATTTTATAATGTTATGTGAAGTTCATCTAAAAATAGTTTTAAAAATTACAAACTACATAAAAGTGCTTTGCTAGGATGGTTAAACAAATTATGGTGCCTCCAGGGCTTCCCTGGTGGCGCAGTGGTTGAGAGTCCGCCTGCCAAGGCATGGGACACGGGTTCGTGCCCCGGTCCGGGAAGATCCCACATGCCGCGGAGTGGCTAGGTCCGTGAGCCATGGCCGCTGAGCCTGCACGTCCGGACCCTGTGGTCTGCAACGGGAGAGGCCACAACAGTGAGAGGCCCACGTACCGCAAAAAAAAAAAAAAAAAAAAAAAAAAAAAAAAATTATGGTGCCTCCAAACAGTGGAATATTATTCAGCCATTCAGGATTCGAGGATGTTTTAATGACATGGAAAAATGCTTACAATGTAATACTAAGTAAACAAGTGGGATAAAAATTGCATATGCAGCATTTTACTAATTATGTTAAATAAAATGTGCACAAAAAAGAAGACTATAAAAATAAGCTAAAATGTTTGTTATCCAAAATTTTTTAAAAAGATTCATGCTTCCAGGAATTCCTTGACGGTCCAGTGGACCGTCCCTGACTCCCCGAATTCCCTGACTCAGTGCTTTCACTGCTGTGGCCGGGGTTCAATCCCTGGTCGGAGAACTGAGATCCCACAAACTGCGATGTGCGGTCAAAAAAACAAACAAAAAACGAACAACAACAAAAGATTCATGCTTCCACTGCTTCAGCATCTACTAAGTGTCAGTCATAGTGAACGAGACGAATGAATATCTTTGCCCTCCTGCAGCAGAGAACAGGCGACAGTGGCCCTGGGTTTAGAAAGAGCTGGAAGGTCAGCAGAGCCAGATTCTTTCTTCTCTCTTCTCTGCCCCAGACTCCCTGGGTGACCCTTTCACGCCTCAGTCCTCCTCATACGCAAAAGCTGCCCCTCGGGAGAGCCATCCAGCCTCTTGGTGTTTTCCCCTAGAAACACCTGTACATGCACCCAAGACCACACATCCAGGCCTGGCCCCAGCAGTATTGTGTGTTGTCGTGAACCCATGGAATAACCTGTATGTTCATCACCAGGGGAATGAGAAGTAAGGCAGGATGGTCCCCTGCTGGGATCCTGCACTTAGAAGGGATAAACTAGAGCTCTGTTTCTTATCCTGGCTAGACCCTGACAACTTAATAATAAGAAGGCAGGGGAAAATGGAATTGCAGAAGAATCGCACAGTTAGAGAGCATTTATGTAGATCCTTAAAACACGAAAAACAATTGAATGTATTGTTTATGTACCCACATATATGTAATACATTTTTTAAAGGCACAGACAGGAAGCCCTGTAATTCATGACAGAGGTTGCCTCTGGGGAGGAAGAGAAACAGAACTGAGAGGGATACAAGCTGGGGAGGCTTCAATTTTAACTGTTACTTTTAGTAATTTTATTTTTTAAAAAACTGAAGCAAACATGACAAAATGTGAACACTTGTTAATTCTGGGTGGTGGGTTCCTGGGATATTTAGTATATTATTCTCTTCACTTTTCTGTATTTTAACCTCACCCTCCGCAAAAAAAAAGGATAGTGAAAATAAAGCAGTGAAGAGAACCAATATCTACTGAGGGCTTTCTCTGTGATGGCCAAAGTGGTCCTCAAAGTGTGTCCCCGGGACAAGCAGCAACAGCATCACCTGGGAATGCAAATTCTTGGGGTCCGGCGCCAGACTTACGGAGTCATGAACTCTGGGGTCAAGACCCAGAAATCTGTGTTTTAACAAGCCTTCTAGATGATTCTGTTGTTCCGCTAAAATATGAGAACCACCGGGCTAGACTGTAATAGCTATGACAACAGTTAACCTGTATTAAGCAATTAGACCTGTCAGACAGTTCTCTAAGGGCGTTCCCTCAGTAACTCAATCTAATCTTCAAAACAACCCTATGAAGGAGCCATATTTTAATTATCCGCATCCTACAGTTGTGGAAATGGAGGCACAGAAAGGCTAAATCCGCTGCCCAAGGCCCAACAGGCAGGTTGCTCCCAGAAACCCTTTACCTAACCACTACACTAAACTGTCACTTACATGACCTCTAACATACTCTAGCTCACTGCAGCCTTGGAAGAAAGACTTAGTAGCCCTCTTTGGCAGATGAGGAAGTTGGAATTGAGGGAGGGAGAGTGACTTGTCCAAGGTCTCACAAGGAGGAAAGTGAGGGGTCACACATCCTGTTGTCTGTCCAGGAGGTTCTGGGGTTTGACCTAGACTCCCTGGGGATCAGGGCCTAGCTGGGAGGAGGAGGGAGCTCAGCGAGCGGACCCAGCTGCAGACCTGCCTGGGCTCGCACCGTCACGCCTACGGCCAGCTGTCCCCTTCCCCACTATGGCTGCCAACCCGCCGTGACCGTGACGGTCACCCACCCCCACCAGGAACCGTAAGGGCCTTCCCCTCCCGGGCTCCGTGAGGCTTTTTTTTTTTTTCCTTTTGCAAAAGGGGAACCTGGACTGCCCAGAGAAGTGGCGGCTCAGGCACAAAGTCACCCTACAGCTTTCCCAGGCTCGCCGCCAGGCAATTCCGCTGTTCATCTGGGCACCCTCCCCGCGGTTCGGCCCCCGCATCCCACCTCCTGTCCGCCGCTCCCACGAAGGTCCCTTTCCCGGGCAACCCAACCTACGCGGCTCACCGCCCCGGGTTCCCTCCGCAGCCAGAAGACCCTCAGGCCGAGGGTCACGGGCCGCTGTCCCCGATCCCGTGTGCGCTGCACTCACCTGGGCGCCCGCTCCTCGTCCCGTGGGCAGCCCGGATCCTCGCAGCTCGAGCGCCCCCCCAGCTCGGCAGACCCCGGCGTCCCGGGCGCTCGTGCCCTAGGGAAAATGGACTGACTTTCGAGAAGAGGCTGGGGCTGCGCTCCGAGGGGCTTCGGGCCCGCGCGTCTTATGGGGACCCTCTCGTGCTGGACTGTCCGCGTCCCTCCCACTTGCTTCTAGTCCCTGGCGGTGCGCCCGAGGTGGAACCAGGGACGCGGTGTTGCCCACAGGCCATCTGGGCTCCTTAGCCGCGCCCGGAGTGATGCTAACCCCGCCCCCAAGTGTCTTAAACCCACCCCCGAAGATTCTAACCCCACCCCAGGGACTCTAATCTCTGTCCCCACCTCCTAAAATCCTAATCCCGCCGCCTAAGGATTTTTTTAAACACCACCCATCCAAGGTTTCTAACCCTGCCCCCAAGAATCCTAACCTTGTCCCTGAGGGATAATAACCCCGCCCCCAAGAATTTTAACCGGTCCTTCAAAGGTCCTAACCACCAAATAACCTAACACCTCCCCCAATGTATTCTAACGCTGCCTCCCATCGCCCTAATCCTGCCCTAAAGGATTCTAAACCCCACCCTTCCGAGAACCCCAACACCTCATCTCCTCCTGAGATCTTAATTCTGCCCCAAAGGATTTTGAATCTCACATCCGAAGGAATTTTAACTTCGCCTACCGGAGATTTCTAATTCTGCCCCCAGGATTTTAATCCTGCCAACCGAAGGATCCTAACCCTTTTCTTTTTTCTTTTTTTTTTCCGGTACGCGGGCCTCTCACTGCTGTGGCCTCTCCCGTTGCGGAGCACAGGCTCCGGACGCGCAGGCTCAGCGGCCACGGCTCACGGGCCCAGCCGCTCCGCGGCATGTGGGATCCTCCCGGACCGGGGCACGAACCCGTGTCCCCTGCATCGGCAGGCGGACTCTCAACCACTGCGCCACCAGGGAAGCCCCTAACCCTCTTCTTGAAAAGATTCTAACCCAGCCCTCAGGATTTATTGCCCTAATCCTAGGGATTCTAATCTCTCTCCTGAGCGATCCCAACCTGTTCCCATAGGATTTTACTCCGCCCCCCAGGATTCTAATCCGGCCCATCTAAATATTCCATCCTTGCCTTCCAGGGTTTCTGATGGCACCTATCAAAGGATTCTAAACCTTTTCAGGAGGATCCTAACCCCACTCTCGTCATTCTCACAGGATTCTAAATCCACTCCTCCTCCCCCAAGCAATCCCCACCCTTCCAATTGCCACCTCCTAGCCCGGGCCCCTCCCCACACCGCGTCCCAAGCCTTCCCAGCCCTTCTGTGGTCTGCGGTTTCCGCTCCGCAGGTCCCTGGCGATTTCAAACGCCAAGCAAAGTTCCTTGCCTGCAGGAACCAGACTGGCTTACTCCTTGCAGGTTTCCTGGCAGCTCAGAGGAGTTCGAAAATTGAGGGGGCGGCAAGTGGGGCTGGAGGGCACAGCTGGAGGCCGCAGATGAGTGAGATGTGCCCAGGACCAGGCAAGGGCAGAGCACATCTCCTCCTGGAAAGAGAGGGACTGTCACCTTAAATTCTGCTGAACACACCTCCAAAATGTATGGGAATCCTACTGTGTCTCTGTAGTCCCACTGCTACCAGCCAGTTCAGGCCACCATCATCTCTCCATTCATTCATTCAGCAAGATTGTTCTGGGCGCTGGGCTACACAGGGCTGCCTTCTTGGCCTCAGCATTATTGACATTTAGGTCCTGAAATTCTTTGTTGTGGGGTCTGTTTTGTGCATAGTAGAATGTTGAACAGCATTCCTGGATTTCATCCACTAGATGCCAGTAACAACCCCCTTCCCCAGTTGTGACAGCCAAAATGTTTCCAGACATGACCAAACGTCCTGGGGGGGAGGGGGGCAGAGGAAGGGGACAGACCATGGATGAGAAAGATAATGACTCTGCTCTTATGTGTTTTGTTTATGTACTTAAATACATGTATGCACTTTTACAAAGTATAAAACGGGGGACTTCTCTGGTGGTGCAGTGATTAAGAATCCGCCTGCCAATGCACAGGACACAGGTTCAATCCCTGGTCCAGGAAGGTCCAACATGCCGCGGATAAGCCCTGGCACCACAACTACTGAAGCCCATGTGCCACAGTGAGAAGCCCGCGCACCGCAAACAAGTGTGGCCCCTGCTCACCACAACTAGAGAAAGCCGGCGCGTAGCAACGAAGACCAAATGCAGCCACAAAAAAAAAAAAAAAAAAAAAAGAAACTTGCCCCTGAAGCAAAAAAAAAAAAAAGGATAATTTTTTTTAATATATATATATATATAAATGTATTTATTTTATTTTTGGCTGTGTTGGGTCTTCTTTGCTGTGTATGGGCTGTCTCTAGTTGCAGCGAGCAGGGGCTACTTTTCACTGGGTGCGCGGGCTTTTCATCTCAGTGGCTTCTCTTGTTGCGGTGCCCGGGCTCTAGGCGTGCAGGCTTCAGTAGTTGTGGCTCACCGGCTGGAGAGCACAGGCTCAGTAGTTGTGGCTCCCGGGCTTAGATGCTCCGTGGCATGTGGGGTCTTCCCAGACCAGGGATCGAACCCGTGTCCCCTGCATTGACAGGTGGATTCTTAACCACTGTGCCACCAGGGAAGCCCCTAGATAATGTTTTAATTGTGTGTTTAAGTTACTTGGATGGTACTTATTCAGTTTTGTCCTTTTCTTTTCACTCCATCACTAGATACTATTAATATCTAGCCATGTTGCTGAAGGTCATTGTCTACATCCTCCATAGTCTATTTATCCATTCCCCTAGTCATGGACACCCAGATTGCACACAACTTCATGCTACCATAAACAATGCCACTGTGGACATCCTGATATATGTCCCCTTATGAACCCATGTGAGAATTTTATAAAGACTTGCTTTGCCAAGAATGACAGATTCTTGCAGAATGGCTGCTGCCTGGATTCTTCTCCTGCCATATCCCCGTATCTTGTCCCTTGGTATCATCTGCTGGTCTTAATTTGAGTTCCCCAGAAGCAGACCCTAGACATGGATTCAAGAGAAGGTCAGTTATTTGGAAGATGCAGAAAACACTGGTAGGAGAGTGGGTGAATGAGACAGGCAAGGGAAGACAGCCAATTAAGAGAGCATTATCAGGCTTCCCTGGTGGCTCAGTGGTTGAGAGTCCGCCTGCCGATGCAGGGGACATGGGTTCGTGCCCCGGTCCGGGAGGATCCCACATGCCGTGGAGTGGCTGGGCCTGTGAGCCATGGCCACTGAGCCTGTGCGTCCGGAGCCTGTGCTCCGCAACGGGAGAGGCCACAACAATGAGAGGCCCGCGTACCGCAAAAAA